ATTTTAGCTGGAAAAGTTGGGGTCGTCTTATACGCCCAGTCGTCTTATGCGCCAGAAAATACGGGTAAATGCAGTGGGCCTTTAATATCCGCTGGGGTTTTGTACCAGGATTCCCTGTGGATACCCAAATCTGTGGATGCTCAAGTTCTATTATATACAATGGAGTAATAAAATGGGGTCTTTCATGTAAAATGGCAAAATCAAGGTTTGAATATATTCAAGCTGTGGATGGTTGAATCTGTGAATGCAGAATCCATACATACAAAGAAACTGTATTGAAATGCAGGTCGTCTCTGGCAGAAAACTCACTCAAGGTACCTCTTGAAATTACAAAGCACCAGCGTTGATTTCTTCCCAGCACCAAGCCACAATAGGGCCTTTTATTAAAGCCCTTTGGGGACTAATTTACTTCAAACCCAGCGTGTACATAATTTTAAGTTGTTACAGCTCTGTGCTTGCTTTCTTAAAAATCTTTTTTTTTCTTGTTGAAATGGTTGATGGTTTTAATCTAGAAGTATTTTAAATTATTTATATTCTGTGCTGCCTTAAGAGCCCATGATAAAGAGCAGGACAGAAATATTTTAATAAAGCAATGGTTCCCAAAAGTATTGTTTCTGAGTTCTGCTTTTTTCTTTCCTTTTTTCTGTTCCAGATCTTATTTTCTTCTCTTTTGCTCCTCCAGGTAGACGAAAACCCTATAATGGCCACCCAGTTCGCAAAACAGGTGTCAGCCCTGAAGGACAAGATCCACTTCCATTCAGTGCTGTTTTCATGCCACGTTCGCAAGGTGAGGGCAGTTTATGGGAGGTCTTCCTCCCTTTTGTCTCAATGCTGGGGAGATTCGCAGCACAGAACTGTACTATACACCCCCTTCCTCCACATTCGCTGGGGTTAGGGGCACAGGATGGCCATAGAGTCATAGAAGCATGGAATCGTAACCTTACTGGCTAGGGATGGTTGGGAGTTGTAGTCCAACACATCCAAAAGACACCTAGGTGGAGGAGGCTGGCATGTGTATGTTTGACAAAAAAGGTCAGAGTGCAAAGTTCCCAGCATACTCTTGCAAGGATAACCAGTGGCCAAAGTGGCTGAGGAATTCTGGGAGGTCTAGCCCAAACAGACAACATTTCCAAGCTTTGTCAGAACGGGTTAATTTTCAACCAGAAAGTGCCAATAAGGACTGAATTGGTGTGTGACTAGTCTTTCCTTTTCTCTGCAACTCAAAGTTGATGGCACCTTTTTTTGAGGTGTTGAGGGCCTTGCATTCTTCCTTCCTTCCTTCCCTCCCTCTCTCTCATGGTTTACTCATCTTTCCCACAACCCTTTGTAGATCAACCGCTGTAACAAGAGCACGGACCGAGCCATTCTCATCACAGACCAGCACTTGTACAAGATGGACCCAAGGAAACAGTACAAAGTGATGAGATCTATACCTCTCAGTATGGTAAGCTGGACCTTGAGGGGACTCTGGGACAGTGGCAGAACTAGTATATTTGACACCCAGCGTGGCTCATTCGAAATACCCTCCCTCCTCTCTTCAATAGACTTTTCTGGGTCTGGTAGATGCTATTTTAGAAAGTGGTGGAGTCTCCTTCTTTGGAGGCTGTTTTTAAGCAGAGGCTGGA